CATATTTAAGCACAAATACACATATCATACCCAACACACACACATACATGCAAAAAGTACCTCTCTTATTAAACAGTATTTGTGCTTGAATTTTAAAATCATTTATCTACCAGACTTCTTACTCTATTTTCTGAGCTTATCTAATTTTTTATAAAAATGGAAGTGTTATGGAATCTATATAAAATTATATATATATAATTGTATGTGTACATATACATATATATAAATATATGTACACACACACACACACACATATATATATATATATTTGACCCTAGAACTTTAATTTCATAAAAAAACTTTTAGTTTATTCAACTACTTTGTTGTAGAAATAATACAAGGACTAACCAAAGTTTCATGGAAATGAGATAAAGCCACAGCTCATTATTTGCAAAAGCAACATTAATATATCACTTTCTTGTGGTCTTTTTCCACATTTTACTACCTTCCCATTTAATAAGGAAACTCAAGACAATTTATATTGTCTTTTTCAATAATTATCTTGTATGCAAAGATTTATTTCAGCCAATTGTCTATAGAAAAGTGATATCAGGGCTTGTCACCACAGCAACCCAGAGTTACAGGTATACAAGAACAATAAAAGATTGACATATCTAAAATCCATCTTTGAGTTAGACTGAACACACTTTGTGAAACAAGCCTAGATTTGCAAAGGCTGTGAGAGAAACTATGTCTCCTCTACAAAAAAATGAAAACTTATGTAATTAGACCAAATTATATGGATTAATATATGTGCATATATTTGATGTTTAAATATATTATTACTTAAAATATTTAAATATATTTGTAAGTATCTACATATATATTACATTCTCCTTATAGTTTTTTACTGAGAGAACTTTACACCAGGAAATAACAAAGAAATTAAAATGGGAGCTCTTGAAATATATTTTGATAACTTTTAGAACCAATTCAAATGGGGAGGAGAATTTGTTGTTTTATCACTGAAAAATCTCTGCCTATCACAAGATTGTGTGAATGGCTTGTGAAAAATGGATGTCAGAGCACAAAAAAGCCTGTAGCCCTGTGATATGATAGACAGGATGGCCACTAAACTGGCCATAGTCCGTATGGTACCTGTCAGTAGGAAGATACGATGCAAGCATTTACATTCCTTGACTTCTTTCAATTTCCTCTTGATTTTTAAATTGTTTAAAACTCAGAAGTGACACTAAGGCTTTCCAGATTATTCAGATTTCCTTGCTTTGAATATCCCTGTAATAATGTGGACATTCACAGACTATTTTGCTGTCATCTGATGTTAAACTCTTAGTAACAGTTGCCAATATTTTTCATGTAACATGAAGTTGGAGAAAGTTGCATCTTGAAAGATCCTTTGGAAATGCACAGTACACAATGGAATACTGAGACCAATGGAATATGTTTAAAAGGTCTGTTTGCGAGCTAGTGTGGATCTCTCAACTGCTACGAACTCAATAGTCAGTTGAAAACGGATTTTAAAGCAGGCTCTACCACTGAGCTGCAAGATGACTTAGGCACACATTCCTTCTCTTTTTGTCTCAATGTCCAAGTGTCCCAAATAAAGATCATAGGAGATGTTACTTGACACACAATAAATGATTCATACAGGCCCACTGACATTACCACCAATGCTACCTACCCACTATTTAATCCAAAATACCACATTTATGTGAAAGTAAAACACATTTTTTCCTTAGACATCTTTTAACATCTTAAAGTTCATACACCTTCAAATGCAGTTTAGGAAATGCCCCGTTAATTATTTCAGGTAGTCTAATTCTGTTGCTCGACACAGAGGAGCAATTAATGAAGAAAAACTGATCTGAGATAATCTCTTCTTTCTTTTTGAAATTACCAAAACTTTATCTGTGTGATTACTTATGGTAATTTCTAAATCTGTATTACATAAAATAGTTCAGTTAAGAAGTGACTTTTTGAGACAAGGATAATAGGAATAGTGCCAGTTTTGTATTACCAGTTATCTTAGACCAGACTTGGTACACTACAGACCATGACCAAATACATTCTACAGTATGTTTTATTAATAAACTTTACTGGAAACAGCCATGCTTAGTCATTTATATGCTGTCTGTGGTTCCTGATGAGGTATTCCAAAGCACTATAGCCGTCTAAAGGGAAAGTTGTTGGTTGATGACCTAGGCTTGTTACTTTTCCCTTTCTGTTCTCTTCAAGTTGTTCTGTTACCATATTGCCACAACCTGCAATCTTGGGGCTGATAGTGATGGGTCCTATTTCACCGGAGAGTAAGCAAAAGTTTCATTTTTCAAATATGAAAGTTTAAAAACATACAGATTTGTCTATTTACTATATGTTCTTAACAGACACATTAAGCCATATTTCTTTGTATAGTCAATTCCAATATTATTGGCATTCAATTTTAATTCCATTTATTGTCAAATAAAATGAAACAAAGTTTATAAAAGGTCCATCTTTTTATTCCTTGTATTCTCCTTTAATTGTAAAACAAGTTAAATGTTTTGTTTTAATATAATACAATATATGTTTAGTATTGTGCTAACAAGCAAAGGTCTGTAAATAGTCTATGTGGGTGTCAGTCCATTACTGAATTTTTAAAAATTAGCTATCAGAGTCAACACTCCAATTCCATTAATATAGCTGGAAGCTTTCTCTGGTCCCGCCAGGCCCCCACATTCCCACGGCCCACTTATAAAATAATCACTCAGCTTATATTAATTATAACTACTTGGCTGTTAGTTCAGGCTTATTACTGACTAGCTCTTACACTTAAATTAACCAATAATTCTTATGTTTAGCCACATAGCTTGGTACCTTTTCTCAGTTCTACCTTGTCATCTTGCTTCCTGAGTCTGGCTGGCAACTCCTGACTCAGCCTTCCTCTTCCCAGCATTCTCCTAGTCTGCTTATCCCACCTATACTTCCTGCCTGGCTACTGACCAATTAGCATTTTATTTATCAACCAATCAGAGCAACACACATTCACAGCGTATAAAATGACATTCCACAGCACTTCCCCTTTTCTGTCTATCAAAAAGGAAGGTTTTAACTTTAACATAGTAAAATTACATATAATAGAACAGTTATCAAGCAAGAATTACACTTATAATATCTAGTCTATTTGTATTTGGAAAAATTAAAGAAAATATTCTATCTAGCCTATATTTGTGCATCTAAAGTTTCATATCTAATTTATCTTTTATCATAACCAAGAAAAATTATAACTATCTAGTCTTCAACTACATCAAAGACCCCAGAAGGATATAATATTACCTAAGTAAACAGGAATAGCATTGTAAGCAACTTCCAAAATTCTGGAAATGATAGAGACAATTGACTGACAGGACAGTCATCCAAAGTTCCTCTGCAGCATTGGGGCATCCATCTTCAGCCTATAGGCCTGAAGTCTCTCAGTCACTTCTCTCTGTGTACTGTAGAATTTCTGGTAGTTTCTTCTGTGAAGCAGGAACCTGAAGGACCATCTCACCTTGCAAAGTTCAGTGATCACCTTCCTATGGGTCCTGCATGCCCAGTCGACATAACATTTTGTCAAGCAGTCCAGACAAGGACAATTTCTTGCCCAAATAGCTATTTTTGCCAAGAAGAAGATAAACTCTATATGGAGTGTCTTTGACACCCATCTTCCTCTTTGGTGTAAATTGGTGCTGCCAGGAGCAGATGTGTCTCATTGTCCAGAAAAGTCTGTTTTTAAAAAAAATTTAAATGCCATATTCTATAGGTCTTTGAAGTGTTTGAAGATTATCTACCTAAGTGAATTATATCTATGTATACCTAGAAAACTTAACATGACTATCATACTCTTTCATCCCATCATATCTATACTATCCCCTTTTCTTCTTTAGAAAGAGATTGCATTAAAAAGAAAAGGGGAAATGATGGGTGATATTGTTGTGTATGCTGTGCATATGTGTTGCTCTGATTGGTTGATAAATAAAACTGTTTGGCCAATGGTGAGGCAGAATAAGGTTAGGTGGGACATTCTAACTAGAGAGAGAGGAAGGAGAAAGACAGAGAGAGGAGACGCTGTCAGCTGCTGCCAGGAAAAGATGTAAAAGTACCGGTAAGCTACAAGCCATGTGGCAAAGTATAGATTTATAGAAATGGGTTAATTTAAGATGTAAGAACTAGCTAGTAAGAAGCTTGAGTCATTAGGCCATATCATTTGTAAATAAATAAGCCTCTGTGTGTTTATTTGGGTTCGAGCAACTGCAGGACTGGCAGGTGAGAGAGATTTGTCCTTACCACGGGCCAGGCAGGACACAGGAAAACTTCTGGCTACACATTAAGGTAGAGCAATGTATTAAAATAAAGAAGGTTAGCCAGGTGGCAGTGGCTCATGCCTTTAATCCCAGCACTCAGGAGGCAGAGCCAGGCGGATCTCTATGAGTTCAAGGCCAGCCTGAGTTACAGAGTGAGCTCCAGGACAGGCACCAAAACTGCACAGAGAAACCCTGTCTCAAAAAAAAAAGCCAAAAAAAAAGAAAGAAAGAAAGAAAATAAAGAAGACATCAAGTTTACCATCATAAGGACTATAATTATAAATGCCCCTGATGGTTTTGACTTCTTATGATTGCTATTGAAAAAAGAAAGGAAGGATTATGTTTGAAAGCTAGAGGAAAATAGCTTGAGTGGAGAACTGAGGAGTTAATGGAGAAAAAGAAAAAAACATGACCAGAGAGAAATGAACCAACAAGAATGGTCAGAGCACCAGGGTCAAGAGTGGCAAAAACAGGGAAGGAACATGGTCCCAGTCATAGTATGACGATCTGGTGAGGCAGTCAGGTCAAATTCGGGGCAAATGAGAGCTGCACAAGGGCATGAGTAGGAGAAATGAATGAAATTAACATAAACACAAATAACAATGGTCAGATTTATGTGTCCTGCAAGTACATTCACCCACTGAATTATTTATGTATTTATCCTCATTTTCCAAATTGCATTCAAAGAAATCTGTGTTTTTCTTCTTGTTATATATATAGAGATTTTTCAAGACTGACAAGGAGGCATTTCTGACGCTCACTCTAGGGCTGTTTTCACTACACCTTATCAGCCTGGTGAGTTCTCTGTAAGACATTCTGCAAGAAATATAGCTGAGAGCATTTGATTTTCACGTGTGTGTGTGTGTGTGTGTGTGTGTGTGTGTGTGTGTGTGTGTATGTTTCCTTTATTGTTGACTATTGAATTACAAGTCATTGTATCTTCAGTCTCATATCTTTTTCACAGAATCCAATACATTGTTTCCCAATTCACATTTTGCAGGGCTGAGTTGGTTTCATTTTAAAATTCTCGTTGTCGAAATATATACAGGCACACCTAAGGCACATTCTCATCTGTTGAAAGCAAAGACAGTGTGCGCTCTGAATGCAGTGAGGGCTAAGCAAGATTATTTTTGCAAATTTTGATGTTTTAAAATGTTTATACATTGAGCTGGCGAGATGGTGTAATAGGTAAAGCACTTGCCACACAACTGTAAGATCATGAGTTCAAATCCCCAGGACCTATAAAACAGCTGGTGCCTTAGTATGTGTCTCTCTAATCCCAGTTGTTCCTAAAGTTAAGATGGGTAGTGGAGACAAGAAAATCCCTGGCAGGCAGGCTAACCTGGCCCACAAGAGCAAGAGACCCTGTTTCAAACAAGGAGGAAAGGCAAGTCAAATGCTTGAGGTTGTCCTCTGACATCCACACAGCTGTGTACACACACAAATACATGCATGTCATATACATATGTCATACACACAGAGGTATTAAAAAATATATCAACAACAATGAACAACCACTCTGAAACTTCACTTATTTCATTGTATACTAGCTTCAATGCTTCATCCTAAGTGTGGCAGGGAAAATTAAAGTTGTTCAATCTAACTTGAATTTTCCTCCAGCATTAAAAATAAACTCCTGCTAAAATAGCAAACCTTTGGCTGCTGGGACTTAGCAAGCTTCATTAAGGAGAAAAAGGACAATCATGAAGAATATTCCTATTGTTAATGAGATTCTAGGACATTCACATTAAAACTAAAAGATATGAAAATCAAGATTCCAGGAACTGTGAACCAAAGTTATCATTCTTTTTCAAAAATCTGTTTTTACAACAAATCCAATGATGGATTGAAATTTCTTCGGTAAATAAGGATTTATTTAACTGTCTAAAAATGTCATCCATCAACATTCTCAATCTACTTACTGTTTGAATGCAAACACTGCAACATGTAAGAGTTTGCAACATGTTTGGATGGCTTTCAAAACTCTGAACAACATCATTTTCAGAAACTGAACATTTCAAATAATTCATAATGGAAATAATTATATCATGATTTAATCAAATGTTCTATGAGCAGCGCACTTCCTTGAGAAACTCAAAGGTACTTAAAATTATTGCATGAGGTGTGGAGGAGGGAGAATGACTAGTCAGTTGGGGCTATGATGAAGACAAGTCCAAAGCCACGTGGACGGCCTGCTTTTCCACATATTGTATTACTCCCTTGGAGTCTTGAAACAGTCCAGTGAGAAATTTAAAACACTGTTGAAGGTAAGGGAACTGGCCCCTTCTTACTGTTCTCTGACTTCTACATGTACTCTGTGGCATGTGCACCCCACAGAACACACACAAAGGAGACAAATAAAATGTAATAGAATAGAAACTTTTTTTAAAGGTTATGTATTTCTCAGCGTCTTCTTAAAAATGAGAAAACCCACGCTGAAGAATCTGTCGAAGGTGAAAACCAGGGCAGCTGATGGCAGAACTTCTCCTTCAGATGTCCCCATCCTACATTATCATACAACCATTCCCCACTGCAGACAGCCCAGACAACGGGCACACAAGTTTACAAAGTCACAGGCTAGCACATGGGAATTTGTCAAGAAATTTCTCAGTCAAGATTTTCTTAATTAAAATATACATCGGTTTCATTGCCCATAAGCCATCCCAATATATTTTCTTAGAACAGGGTAAGCTATGAGCTAAGTATAAAATAATGAAGTATAAAAATCAGGAGGAAGTTGTTTGGCCTTCCAATTGGAACCATATATGTTGGTATTAACAATTATAAAGCACTTAATATAAGTAACTTTTAATTGCCTATTTTCATAGCACATCCATATACAATGTTATTGCCGAACTGAAAAGGAAAAAAATAGCTCAACTTTTAGAAAATCTTTGCCTAGAGAAAACTGAGACAGCGGCAAAGAGTTCTTAGGAAGTAATCTCTACTTCTTTCCCAGTGCAGCATGTACGGTTGTCCCATCTCTTAGACTCTGAAGGATGTGGGTTCTCTACCAACTGTGCAATGCTACCTGCCAATGTTGTTTTATCATCTCTTTTCTGGCATCACTTCCTTTCACTATTTCTATAAAATGATACTGATGCTCTTTGTTTCTTATATGATTCTTTGAGAGTATAGAATTCTCATGACCTCATATTCTCCTGTAACTACGTTGGTTTTTTTTTTTAATGCTCTTGCCAATGACTACTCACCAGCTGATACAAACAGTCTGTCCTTCTAAGTACCATCAGGAACATTTTGAAGTTATACAGTTGTGTATATTTTCCCTGGTGCACAAATGTGTGATCCATGGAGCATCCTCATCACAGAGATATCCAGGCTCTGATGAACATGCTCCCATGTACATGGTCATAGGATGTTCATGGACCAAATGTAGCTTTCCCACCAGCTTGTTGGGAAAGGGCTGCCAGCAGCTGCCTTTCTAGAGTCCTTCACAGGTGTCAGTGTGACAGACATTTCACAAGCCTTTACTCTGACCTTTCCATATTTTCAGATTCTCATCTGAAGATTTTTAGCACCAATTAAAGAACAAAAAACTCCCTGACATTTTGTTGATAAGTGTACTTTGCCTATTCAAAAAATATGCCTGCTACTGCAGATGAAGTATACATTTGGTTATACTTCCCTTGCATATGTTTTGTTTTTCTGTCTATTCATGGTTCAGAAAAGCTGGATTTGGGCAATGGAATTTCTTGACAGCTAAAAAATGCATTGGTTCTACACATCATCCATTTATTAGAATAGGCGGTATCAAGTCAACATGCAATATCTCACAAATTGGAGTTGATCAGTTATCCTTTTATTAAAAGTAAAAACATCACGTTGTGGGGGAGTCATTGGAGATGAATCTGGGAGGGTTAGAGAGGAAGTGGGTTTGTAAATATGACCAAAATACATTGTACTAAATTCTAAAAATTGCAAAATATTTTAAAACATGCCAAAATGATGGCTGTTTTTCAAAAGAAACCCTTTCAAAGAAACAATATACAGTCAGAATAATATTACTATACTATAATGCTGAACTTTTCAAAACAAAGGAACTTCTTTTTGCTTCATAATTACTTTAAGATTGGTCTTTTATCTGTTTTCTGTTCTTTTGATATTTTCCTCAAGCTCAGATAAAATTTAGTTCTCCATTATAACAGTACCAGTAATTATTCTGAGAAAACTTGGTTATAATAGTAAAATATACCTGTTTAAATCTTAACTTCTGGGTTGTTGTTCAATTGAGGGCAGGATAGATGGATCATTTTTCTAGTATTGTGACTTTATATACTTTACATTATATAATAATGCTGATAACTATTTGTAGTAAGCAAATAGTGTTTTGAATTTGCACATTTTTAATTATAGTTTATAGCTATCTGGTTTATTATAAATGCATGAGCAAGACACTTTTTACAACCATTTTTATAAAGTGCTTTTATTTTCAGCCAAATTGAAAGGTTTTTGATGAGCATATAGGCAATGATATCCCATAATATATTTTCAAATCACAAACTCCTTAAGAAAAAGCCAGAACTATTGCTACTTAACCCATCATTCAAATGATACATGTATACACATTTGCTGTCGGACATACAGAGAGAGAGAGAGGGAAAGACATATGTAGATATAGATATCAATAGATAAATATAGATAGGTAGATAGGTATATATATATTGATATAGCTATGTAGATACAGCAATGTATAAATGTACATAGATAGATGAATATACAGATAGATGAGATAGAGATATATAGGCATAAATAGATTTTGATGTGTAGGTATAGACATGCAGATTTGTATTAGGTTCTTCTATTTGCTTCAGCAGTATTAATATTCTTAGAGAAGTTCCTGCTGAGTCTCTGTAATTTGATGAGTTTCAAATCCAATGTTCCTAAAACACTGCAGTCAATAGGGCAGCTCGCTGGAGGGGTCATCACAAGCTCATTAGATCAGGAACACAAAGGAGAATTTTAATCAGATTCTATAGGTCATCTTTCACATGATTGTGAGTTTTGGTTGAAACCCATCAGGTCTGCTGATTATTTGTTGGCATCTGCTGCATTGAAATCACAGTCTGCAGGAACGGTAGTAGATGCTAAATACTCCTGTGCTTTGTAAGTTAATGTATATTTTAATGAAGTGAACAGTGAGATTCCTGACAGGCATCAGCAAATCTGAAATAGAGTCTTCCAAATTTCTCATCTAGTCTGGAAGTAATGAGACTTGTTCCATAAAGTGATAAAATTTATGCCATATATTATCTCCAAAAGAAGAGTGCTTCACGGAGCAACACTTCTCGCTTGTTGGGATTAGATTTTTAAGTAGTTGTTGGAATGGGTTGCTTTGTAAAAGGGAGCTGAGCTATATTTTCTTTGATAATTTTTGCTCATGATCAAAGAAATGAAACAACCCTAAGTGCAAGGAGCTTGATATCACTTGGTCAGAAATAAAGTCGTTGATTTAGTTATTGCAACAAAACTTGGCCTCTAGAATCTATCCCACCCATCCCTGTGTTTGCTCATCAGCTTTTAAAAAGATTCCCAGAGACATTTCTAGGAATCAAGTTTCTCTTTCTCAGAATACTCTGGAGGTGTTTTGTTCCTTTTTTATTTTTTTCAAGGTATGTTTCAAACCAGGACTTTTTGCTAAAACTATATTTCATAACATACTAAAATCACTGTGATAAATAAGTACCATTCATCTTGGCACACATTACAGACAGTGCTAGGACTAGCTTTTTCTCAGATCTTTTAGTAATTCCACTGCATATACTTGGCCCTTAAATTTAGTTGGCACAGTATTTTCTAATGCAATAAAAATCTGTAATCATCTACTGCTAGATAAGTTAGTCAATGGACTACTTGTAGATTGACTTACCTGTGATCTTCACAATGAATGTTATGAATTTAAAATTACCTCTGCAGAGCGAGTTTATGTTCGCCAACATAATATTGGAACCCAAATAGTTATTTCATGACTCATAGTCAGAAATATGTACCCTCAAAGTGTGCTTTATAATATTTAAATAAAATGTGCACATCCCATTGAGTCAAAATCCTTTCCACACATGATATGAGCACAGATAAAGCTGCTAGAGGTGTGGCTCAGTAGATAAGAAAATGCAGATTCTGTACAAATGGTTGTAGATTTTGTTAAATATTTATCGTCATGCTAAGACGTCTTCTAGGTGCTGAGAATTCAGAACTGAACAATGTGTTATAAGCAGCTTAGAATCTATGAAAGCAATAGACAAGAACAAATAAAAAATGTTAAAAAAAAACAGTAAAAAAATATTATGAACTAAAGGTGGCTTTTGAACAGACACCATAGGTGACAGAGAATGTGGAGCTTCCTGTATGCGTCTTGTAACTTTCAGATTGGAATTTGTATGGCAAGCCTTATTGACAGTGATCATTTCTTCCTGGATAATTGGAACAATAGCACCAATAGACACCTATAACTCCCAACGACTCAGTTGTCATATATATCTCATATCCGGGCCTTCCTCAGATGTGGAAGAATGTGTCTCAGGCATTCAGAATGCAAAACAATTGTACATTTCTATAAACACATAGGCAATTCTACCAACCAGTGTGCAAAACCATATTCTTGTAATCTTACCATGACCCTCAATGATGACCACATTGGCTCCCACATTCTCATAATGAAAATATTTGACCATTTTCTAAAACTATGTTGTTATTCCAGTAACTTAAGTTTCTAGTTCCCAGGCTACTTTCCCAATTTAAAATGCCCAGAGTATTCATGACGCTGTTTCCAGGATTCCAATCTGTCCCTCGTCTTCTCCAAACATTTTCAGATCATGGTGACTTTGCAGTTCAATTTCAGCTACAAGGTCTTTGGAAGCTAATCATTTTTAACCAGATGTATCTTCCCATGTTTCCCATTCTGCTACCAAGGGTGAAAATTTATCTTCTAGTTACCTAAGGCAATACTTAAGTCACTGGTTGCTTTATCCAATCATATTCATCTAATATATACATATTCTCGTATGTGAGTTCAAGAACAAGAGACATTTGTGATCTAGGCAAACTGGGACAGCAATGCAATGTATTTGGTGACAGTGGGACTTACAGGTGAACTGCATAGTCCCTGCTTACAGTTCCACATTAGCCATTCTAAACCACTAAGTTAGAGATATGCTACATTTATAAGATACATATAGTACTCATACCACCAAATATGCACATTAACAAATAAATATTATCTATAATCATAATTGCAAATATATTTTATGAAAATGTAAATGTATCAAATATTACAATATTTTTCAAATATTGCTTAGAAGTGATGCATTTTCAGGGACATTAGAATGGTGTCACTTCATCCTCTGCCTTCCCAAAGATGTAGCTGACAAAACCACATAGTTCCACACGTTCTTATTTTTTTATTTTTTATTTTTATTTGGTTTTTTGAGACAGGGTTTCTCTGTGTAGCTTTGCGCCTCTCCTGGAACTCACTTGGTAGCCCAGGCTGGCCTCGAACTCACAGAGATCCGCCTGGCTCTGCCTCCCGAGTGCTGGGATTAAAGGCGTGCGCCACCACCGCCCGGCTAGCGTTCTTATTTTTAAAAAGATAGAAAAACTAGTAAGAATATTTTCCCATCTACTTATTTCAGCATTCTCTTTTCCTCCAAAGACAGCTTTATTCCTTAATCTTTGATTTTATGGGAACATTTTTAGGTTTAATCTGTAGTTTTCACATTGAAGGATCCAATAAAAGGAAATTTGTAACCAGCTTAGTGCTTAAGATGGGAAGTTTTATCAGAAGTACCAAGCCTTGCAGTTTTATACTGTTAGGTGGGAGGGATTTTAAAAGTCTGAACTTAACACCAAAGTAGCTGAGTGCTTGCTTCTACTAACTTATCACTATCTGAAAAGTATCTGTTCAAAAATGCAAAGGAAGGCAGAGGCCATAGAAATGTCAGTTTGAGAAAGAGAATGGCAATGTCATCAGAGCCAGTAAGACTTGGCAAGGCTGGTAAGGTCAGGAAGGGGCCTCAAGCTAGGAGGTCAGTGGGTTGAATCTGACAGTGTTGAGAGCCAGAGGTTTAATGTTTGAAGAAATAAAGGTGGGGGAGGGTGCAGGCAGGACTACTCAGACTCCTCTGGATCACAGTCTGAAAACTGGGTAAGTGAAGGCAGCTTAGAGGGTGGACATGCCATGCTGGGCTTGAGTATACATGTTAGCCACGCTGAGTCTGGAGGATGGATATGGTGGGGAATGACAGGCATGAATATGAGAGATTTGTGGCCTGAAAAGGATGACTATAGAACAGAAATAAGCCAGGTCAAGGATGACTAGGAGGTACTGAGAATTAGGAAAATAATTTTGTCTTCTTAATTTAGTTCATTACTCAAGACCCTTTTGAAATCTCCAGCATACGTTTATCACCCATCCTTGTAGTCGTGGCTCTCCCTGAGAGTACTTCTTGGGATTCCAAGGTGGGCCTCAGCACACGACTCCACCATTTATTGTTTCGGTCTTTGTCTGTTAACTTCTGTAAGACACCACCAAGCATAATTTTAGGCTTCAAGACTTGAGGATGCCACAGTCTGCCCAAATACAAGCTATATGACAAGATAAATGTCCCTTCTCCAGTATCACAACTCATATTTTCACTGATAAATTTCCACAATAGCTTTCATACACTAACTGCAAGAATTAGTAGATTTGTCAGCAAGAAGTACATATCCACCATTAAACTGATTTTCCCAATGTTAGTGGTTATTCCTCTGGACCTGCTCTATGTGGACAAGTATGAAGATCTTAGGATATCAGCTACTCAGATGAGGGGCATGATGAATGGTGCTTCTTGTTGGCAAACAGCAGGATGGAATTTGGTCACACTCCTACCTTTAAATCTTTGCCCTTTGCTTATCCATAGGACCTAGAAAACTATTAAACCTCTGTCAACGTATTCAGTCATCCATGAGATGAGAATAAAATAAATTTTCCTTGTTGGGTTAGGGCAGAAGCAAGAAAATTGATAATATACAATTTCTTAGTAATAATGAAGTTCAAGTTCATGACAAAGCATGGGATAATGTGATGGATTATTCTACAATGCTTAAACTTAACTGGTAGAGAGTTTATGTGTTATCTTCAATAAACCAATCTATCCCACTTAAACATGACAATATTTTACCACAGCTTCTATTAACTAATTCTCTTATCCAAAAACTAAGATAATTAGAGTGGGCTATCATTCTTCAATCACAAAATGGAGATTAAATGAATTTTTAAAATAATCAATGCACTGATTTCGGTCTCACTCAAACTACTTGTGGCAGGGGACATTGATTACACAAATTACTTGGATAATTGCTTCTGAAAGAACCAGGAACAGATCAGAAGTTTGGACAGTAACCACAGAGGAGGAAAAGAGGGTTCCATTAGATGAGTTAGTAGGTGCAGAACTGTGGCATCATACTTGAGGCAGAAGTTCCTAAGAGCAAATAACTTGGTTGGAAAAGTGTGGACAGTGTATGGCTTCCAAGAATGTCAACATCCTAGGAGTCTAAGATTCTTGAAGTCCAGAGTGCGAATCTATATAGGATGAAAGGGTCACTTGTACTTTCTAGAAAAGAAACTGAAAATCCATTCATTCTTGGTTGGTAAGTACTGTAAAGATGAAAGTTCTTTTCAGCTTAGTATTATCTTAATTATTTTCCCATTTTCATTTTAGAGTCTTTGACTCTTGCTTAAATGGTGGCTTTTTAGGTCAATTGATTTTAGTTCATGTCCCAAAGCAGGCAGACAAGGGTAAGGTATTCAGAAATTAATTCAGGAGACTAAATCTGAATGTTTGGATCCCAAATATAATTTTCTGTAACATTCACACTGAAAAGGTGTCATTTAAGCTTAAGTTGCCTTGAATAAGCATTCACAGGAAGGGTCAGGATATGTATTTAACATTTTCTCATTTCCTAGCAACCCACCTTTCTTAGGAAGCAAAAAGGACCAATGGCAAATTGACTTCATATGTACTAATACCATCTTCTTTCCCAGAGGAAGGTGAAGCATTCAGTGCATCTGAAAACCAAATGACCAACTGGCAGGTTTGCTGTCCAAACACTTTGCCAAAAAGTAGGGCAGTGATGTAGAACAACTCATTAATCACGGAGACCTGAGATGTGCTTCATCTTGACTTGACTATACAGTTTGTCTTCCTTCGGGGGCAGAATGATCATACATGTGGTAATTGGAATTAAAGTCAATATAAACACTAATGTCTTGTCTTCTGACAGCATATGAATGTGCAAGAATTGAGTTATAGGAGAAAAGGGGCTAATTTGAGATTTGTTCCTAGCCCTCTCCATGTGAATGGTGTCGCTGTGAGCCCAGCAATGAAGTTCACTGTGTTGTAGCAGACTGCGCAGTTCCTGAGTGTGTCAACCCAATCTATGAACCAGAACAATGTTGTCCTGTCTGCAAAAATGGTAAGAATGCCCTGCATTAGCTTTCAAGAAGGGGTTAGGGGTTAGGACAAGACACTAGTATTTCACACATGCATGCCATTCAGTATAAGAGCCCTCTAAGATCTGCCTCTGGCTTTTCAATACGGGCAGTGCTGGCATGTATGTTTTTCTAAAGCCTTAAAGTGAAAATGTACTAGGGATGGGTGAATTGAGTAACTTCTCATCTGGGGAATTAGAACTCTTGCAATCTGGCTTTGTTGTGACCCCTATTATTTATTGTTGATTTATAAAACAACTATTGGAGAGAACTCAGTACCATATTTTATAGTGATTGAATTTCTAGCTATTTTGGAGCCCGTGAAGCAGTTTTCCAAATTTCATGGTGAATAGTGCATCCTAAGACAGAGATTGGAGCAAATGTCAGGTATTTTGCTTTGGACATAAATAAGACCTCAAGTTTAAAGTTGTCCAAAGGATATAAATTCAATTATAATTGTACTTAAATTCAAGCAAGAAAGACTGAAACTGATGTGTGTGTGTCGTGGGGGTAAGGGGTTAACCAAGATTTTCAATATAGAAGAGCCCTGTCCTCACAGAATTGCTGTAGATGAGGAAAGTGACTTGTATATAAGATTATGGGTTCATTTTCCCCATTACAAAATGGAATAGTTGAAAAGAATACAGTATCTTAGTCATCTGAAATCACCATAGTGCCATAGAGAAAACATTGCAAAGCAATGATCTTCCAGGACAATAACAGCAAAGATCATACAATCACACTCCTCCTAGTGGTCATGTTCTGCCAATGGGGAGGGAATACATCACTAGCTATCCACAAATGCCCTGTTCACAGTCACGTGTGCTTGGGGAGAAAAGTGGTTGTAGCCCTTGTCATCACGCTACTACTAAATTGATGTGCTCTTGATAGACAGATAGATAGATAGATAGATAGATAGATAGATAGATAGATAGATAGATAGATAGATAGAGTTTAAATTCACATTTTCTCTCCTAGTAATCTTTTCCTTGACAGATGGATAGTTTTAAAATAGCATCAAGTTATTAAAAGACAAAACAAAAATGACTCTTATTGTTTTACAAATAGATTTTGTGATTTGGTATCTTCCCAAACCACTAATAATGACCCCTTCTGATGTTTTTCTGGGCATAGACTTTCCTGTTTCTTAGCATAGACGTCCATTATGCTAAGTCATTAAACTGTCCATTTGACTTCTCTTTTTCTTCTTATCTAACTGACTTATGGTGACCATCTCTGTCTCAAGAGCTGGAAATAAATACACACCCGAAGTTCTAATGTGCCTTATATATGCAAAGATACACGATTTAAAACTTCATATTTCTGAAAAAGCTTAAAGAAACTGGAAAAGATACAAGAAAGAACAGTAAGATGATTTAATGGTTGAAAAAATAGGACCTGGGAGGATAGACTGAAGGAGTTAGCATAATTTGTCCAGAAGAAAGAGCCCAGGGGAGAAGTAACTGTCATGAAGTATATGAATGGTTGGTCTAAAGTGGAAGAGGACTTGTTATTTTTCATTTTCTCCAAGGATAAAAAGAAGGAAAGCTCAGCTACCCAATCAATCTTTAAAAATAGGATTGACAAGTCTTTAACTAGAGATCTTTTTTTTTTTTTTTTTTTTTTTTTTGGTTTGGAAGTAACCATCTAAATAGGTCCTTGAGAATATTTTCTTCCCTGGGTAGTCCTTGTTAACTTTGCCCCACTTTTAGAGTAAGTGCTTACAATTAAAAACTTGTCTGTACACACTCAGCATTCTCTCAGAATTAGAGAATCTAGTCCATGTAGTTAGGATGCAGTATTAAAGAATGCATCTAATAAATCATCCCAGATACCTAACACAAGCCTACACTACATCTAGACTTCATGTCTAGTCATAACTCAAGATTAGTTTGCATTTATCATATATTAGAAATTTGTCTTCAAATACAATTCTGCATATATGTAATGAATGAGCTTTGAGTCACCTATTCATATAACTGACTTTATGCTAAATGCACAGTGCATTAATTAAGTTTTCTGAGGCTGTGTCCATGACATAGTACACAAAGACCACATCTGCTTCATCTTGCTACTTCCAAACACATTATTACTTTATAAAATAATAAGGGAAATCAATCTGGATTTAAATAAGTAGGAAGACTGACTCTTGCTATAACATAGTATTAAGAGATGTTTCTATTACTAAATGTCATTAATTTGATAATTGTTCTCAAAACATAGTTTTATCACTGCTGAAGGACATTGATCAAAAGGACCATTGAGAGCCCCTGAGACCTGTATTTTATTAATGAAGCAGACTGAGCCCACACTTGAGTTGCTAATTTTCTAAGCATATTTAAGAAAATAGGAGGAGACGACACCTATGTAGAAGAGCTGGAGGGAAAATAAATATCATAATATTGTGTTACTTTGACTTATCTTTTAGCCACAATTTCCATTGCTAATTAATGAGCACTATTTACAAGGGTTGTTGCTTATTTGTTCTAATAATATACAAAAATAAATTAGTATTAGTATAGTATTTGCTAACAAAAATGTTTCAGTTTAGGGTGTAATTTAAATATTATAATATTTGGAAACCAATCATAATGTGTATAGTTGGGAACCAAGAATGTATATTGTTTTTGGAGTGTGAATTAACATTAGTTGCAATTTTGTATTCTTAATTATTCATGCAACTTTTGAGTTTTCCATTCATCTTAATGCTTTTATTGTAAGTCATTAGAAACCATGTTTATAGATGCCAAACATATGGCTTTGCAGTTAAAGTATGTAAGCAGTTATTAAATATTTGATAACTAAAGCACCAAAACTGTTAAATTCATTTTCATAGACTTTGTTTACATTGGATTATAAGTCAGTCATTATTTATGCCTCTGATGGACAAGTTACCTCATGAAGTCTAGAAGAGCCAGGACCCTCCCCTAACCCTCTAGACACAAGCCTTACTCAAATGGTTAACTCCACACTCCTTACTCTCTCCCAGTTTAATGGTCATGAAAGCCAGGCCGGTAGTTGGCTAGCCAGAAGGGCCAGGGGAAAGGAAAAATACATCAGAGTGGCAGGTTATATATAAACAAAAAATGAATACTCTTTGTAGTTTCTAACACCTTCTAAAGATTTACCATGAACAATTGCTAACAGCCCTAATGTGCACACAGTGTTTCTTGAAATGGAAAGGAAAGAAATAAATACCAATTCCCTGAGGGAAGAAATGAGCAAGAAAATCTTGCCTAACAAATTGGGTAATATACTTAACCAAAAGGAATCAGAAATTACAGGAAGGAGATACCAATTTTGTATTGATAGTATTTTCTAATATTGGCAACACTTCTTATTGACAAAAAAAGATTGACCGAAAAAAAGTTGAGAAAATGTTGGACAACTTTTAAGAAAGCATTTTCTGTGCAAATTTTCATGTCACTTAAAGTTGACTATTATACAATGTGTATTTTGTCCCACATTCATGCATGGAATTTTCCCTGCATTTTAAGAGTGAGAAGGTGACATGAAACCTTATTGTTTTCAGTGGAGTGGTGAAATGTATCACAGCCTTTAAAAACACACTACTGACATTTTCTATGCCATGTAAGATAATAGAATACAGCAATGCATGCTATATCTATTGTATTTTTGTGTGATGTATTTAATACATTTGAAATGAGATGCATATAATAAATATACATTAAGTTGTATGGGAATAGATAGACACCTAGTATTAGTTATATAGTAGAATGTTTATGATGAGAGCTAGGGAGATGGCTTAGTTAGTAAATGCTTTTCTACAAGCCTGAAGACCTGTGATTGGATCTGCAGCATTAAAGAGGTGGAAACAATCAGATCCCTAGAGATCACTGGCCAGCAAGTCTATCTGAATTGGTAAATCCCAGCTTCAGTGGAAGGCTTGCTCTCAAAAAGTTTGATGAGGAGTGATTGAGGAGGACACACAATCTAGAGTTCTGATTTCCATACATCCACATGCACATGTGGATGCAAAAACAGCCACAGAGAGAGAAGTGGGGGAGGGCATGGAGGCAGAGAAGCAGAGGAAGGGGGAGGGGAGAGGGGATGGAGGCAGAGAAGCAGAGGAAGAGGCAGGGGGAGGGGATGGAGGCAGAGAAGCAGAGGAAGAGGGAGGCAAAGAATGAATATAATCATTCAATTGTTACTTGTAGGGTTTAGGAATCAGAAGGTAAAGGGAGAAAAGAACTACTATCTTTAGTATAGTAGATACATGCTGACCACAAAAATAACAGAATTCTGTGGAAAGTCAGAAATATGATGTTCAAATTATAAACAATGCTCAATCTTAACTCACTATTAATCAGATTTGAGTATAAGTACATACTTTTATTATTTCTATGCACTACATAGGAAGAATTCTAGAAAAATACACATCAGCTTTTAAACGAAGATTCAGTGACTAGAATGGTACATAAAGCACCGGATGTGAACGCATGGGACTTAGCTTTCATTTCCATAAGCCTCCTTACTGAGTTAATGTTTTAAATACCTACTGTACTTTCATATTCTAAAAATTTCATTCCTACAGTTAAGAAAAAGACAATTTAAATGCCATTAGACTTCCAGAGAAGATGCAAGAAAGAGGTGTCCACATTTTGTAATAGAGCATAATACTGATTAAAGAAAGACAATGATTTCAAACTAGAAATAGAAGCAGCTATATTTATGATTTTAAGTGAAAATTTTTAAATAAAAATACAATTAAGTTCATATTTAATATCTTTAATTCATAGATTTATGGGTGGGTATGGTTTATAAGCTATATATCACCAGTGGTATGAAGTAACATTCTTCAATGAATAACATGACATTTCTGTAAAACATAATAATCACATTACAAGTATTGAGTAAAGAAAATGAATCTCACAGACATCAGGTCAAGTTTTAACCATATTTTAACCTTAATTTGTATTCAGATTCATGGGAAACTGTTTGTCTTCAGAGATTTGGGGGAAGG